ATTGAATACCTTGAGAAATCTGTTAGTGCAGGTAAGCTGTTAGCTCATGTCCTCAACCCTGAGCAGGCGCTAACAAGCCTTGCTTCTTTTTAGACAACAGCGACGCACAAAGTTGGTACCTTCTTGGTCGTTGCTACATGTCGCAAGCCAAGTATCCGAAGGCCTACGAAGCATATCAACAGGCTGTCTACCGTGATGGACGCAATCCGACTTTCTGGTGTTCGATTGGTGTTTTGTACTATCAGATCAACCAGTATCGCGATGCATTGGACGCTTACTCTCGTGCAATCCGCTTGAACCCTTACATCTCGGAGGTGTGGTACGATCTGGGAACTCTGGTAAGTCAACCTGCGGGGAGTTTGTTGGGGGGGGGGAAACTCGCGGAAGACCGAAGTCGCTGACCACCGCTCGTCCAGTATGAGTCCTGCAACAACCAGATTGCCGATGCTCTTGACGCTTATGGTCGTGCCGCCGATCTTGATCCTACTAATGTCCACATCAAGGCTCGTCTGCAACTGCTGCAAAGCCAGCTCTCAGGCTCCAACCAGAACAGTGCTCCTGCGCCCGCTCCTCAGCCTCAGGACGTTCATCCACAGGCTTACCAGGCTCCTGGTGTGGGCGCTCCTCCAGCTCCACAGTGGGGAGCACCAGCTCCAACTGGAGGCCCGCCTCCTCAGCCTCCCGCTCCTCCAAGGCAGATCGCTGACTGGAATCGCGGCATCAACGAAGTGCAGTCTCAGAATCAGGCGCAGCCCCAGCCAGCTAACGGTTTCGATCATCGTGACCAAGTTCGGGGCCCGGTCGCTCTTCAGCAACCAAGCCCACGACAAGAGCCTGGTAGGGCCTTCCCTGATGGTGTTCGTGCTCCAGCAGCTCGTTCTCCAAAGGCCACGGTTGCGGGCCCCGGTGCATTTGCACCTGCACACGCACTGCCCCAACTACCGAACCCACCACCGCCGCCACATGATCGAGCTCCCGCCGGTACAACTCCTTTTGCCTCTGCTACTCGCGGACCCTTGCCACCCGCTCCTACTTCTGCTGCACCCCCCACAGGCCCAACTGGGCCTAACGGAGCCCCTGCCTCTGCTGGACCTCTGCCACCATACCCTCGCCCGTTCACCCCGCCGACGGAGATCCGGCCCATTCGCGACGAGAGACCATCATCGCCCGGTTCTACCTACCCTCACCAGCAGTATCATCATGGCCCGAGTGTGCCAATTCAGGGGACTAGTAGCACTGGCATCGCAGGTGGTGCCCCTGCTCCAGCTTCTGCGATCACTGCTGCCGAAGCCGCTGCTCGAGAACGTGAAGATCGCCCAACCTCGGCAATGAAGCGGGGTCGGGAGTGGGAGGGGGAGTCGGGCCCTTCAAAGAAGGTTGCCAATGAGGAAACCCGCGTCCGCTTGGATGATCAGGTCGCTCGCCGCGTAACCCCTCCGAACCGCATGCCGTCGCCTGGCGAGATGCAACGACGTGGTTCCTCGGAGGTGCGACGCGAGGACCAGCGCCGCGTGAACGAGAGCTACCATCCATCAGAGGCTGCTCACCATCCTCCAACCCTCCCATCCATTCAGCACATGCCTCAACACGCGACCGGTTCAAGCCTCCCTCCCATGAATGAGGGCCCTGCTCCGGCTTCCAACGGGCCTCAGCCAGGTGCTCCATCAACCCAGGTGCAGGTGAAGGAAGAACCGGCTCGCAGTGAGCAAGTCCCAGCCCATGAGCCTGCTGCGCGTAAGATGGACGTCGATGAGAACTACGATGACGATGGAGATGACGAGAAGAGAACCAGCACTGCCGCTAAGGGCAGTCCTGCTGCGGGTAGCAGCAGCAGCAACGGGGTGCTGAGCAGTGGCGCCCAGACTTCCCAGTCGAAACAGGAGTCTGCAGCCTAAACACATGATCATTTCTTGTCCATGTAGCCCATCTGATGATTGCAAGATGGCGCTGTACAAGCGAACATGCCTCCGAAGATGTCTATTATGAACAATCTTTCGTACCCTCGTTTACCCTTCAAAATTCCCCTTTCCTTCTTCTTTATGGTTCTCCTTTCCGGTGGCATTTACGCTAGCTGTTACTTACTCATTCAAGTCTGTACTCTACGAAAGCCATCGGCGTCTTAGCTACGAGGAACTATTACTTGTTTATGTCCTCTCTTGTACCTGCCTTTTGAGCCCCCCTTTGTCCAGATATCTTCTCTCATCTCCATTGCCCTTCAATTTCCCTGTGCATGATTCAGAACTCTTCTTTCAGAAATGACAATATCTTTTTCAGAGCTCCATTTTTGTTTTTCGTATTGGGTTGAATGCGTTGACTTGTTGTAGAGGCAGCTTTGTATTCGTGAAAGAAGTGGGAATTTCGATGTGGTAAGTAGTTGCAGGTAGTTGAATCAAGTCAAATTTGATATTACGACACTTCTTCTCTCCTCATATATCTCAAACGATGTTGGATAGGCTGTACAATGCTGAGTGAGATAAGCGGAATGTGATTGAATACCATTCATTATACAACGAGTTTTGCCCGTTGGGCATAGCACGTATGGAGTATGGCAGAAGAGGACAAGGCCAAGGGAGCGTGTGCCTCAGGCAGCAAGGCGCGGATTTTCAGTGTGCCTTAGTCACAACAGGGTCGCTTATCCGCAAGAGGAAATGTGTCGCCAAGACTTCGCTTAGGTCAGCCCACATTCGTTAACCGTGCAAAATAACGACCTTCGGCAAACTTAGAGATAGACACTCTCACTCACCACTTCGACGACTAACGACAACAGGGTCAAGATGTAAGTTATGCGCTCGAATACAGATCAATTATAATGTTAAAGAATCACATCGCTGATTTTATATTTTTTTCAGGAGTCACCGGAAGTACGAAGCGCCTCGGCACGGTTCGTCAACCTCGTTTTCCTCCTTCGATGGCGTCGAAATTTCTGCGCTCTGTGTGTGTGCGATATACTGACCAACGTCCTTACAGGCTCTCTTGCCTTCCTGCCGCGCAAGCGCGCTGCCAGACACCGTGGAAAGGTCAAGAGGTTAGTTTAGCCGCTACAATTTTCAATATCGAGACCATAAAAAAAAAGACAGTATGCTGAGTGTTCGACAGCTTCCCCAAGGATGACCCCAAGAAGCCCGTCCACCTGACGGCCTCCATGGGTTACAAGGCCGGTATGACCACCGTCGTCCGTGACCTTGACAGACCCGGTGCCAAGATGCACAAGAAGGAGATTGTTGAGGCTGTTACCATCATCGAGACTCCTCCTGTATGTCCATTGACCCCTGGATTTGGTTTGTTACGAAACTGGACCGTCACTTACGCTTGTTTATAGCTTGTTGCTGTCGGTGTTGTCGGTTACATCGAGACTCCCCGTGGTCTCCGCTCACTCACCACCGTCTGGGCTGAGCACCTGAGCGACGAGGTCAAGCGCCGCTTCTACAAGAACTGGTACAAGAGCAAGAAGAAGGCCTTCACCAAGTACGCCAAGAAGCACGCTGAGGAGAGCGGTGCCTCCGTCACCCGTGAGCTTGAGCGCATCAAGAAGTACTGCACTGTCGTCCGTGTCCTCGCCCACACCCAGGTCCGCAAGACTCCTCTCAAGCAGAAGAAGGCCCACTTGATGGAGATCCAGGTCAACGGTGGCTCCGTTGCCGACAAGGTTGACTTCGCCCGCAACCTGTTCGAGAAGCCCATTGAGATCGACAGCATCTTTGAGAAGGACGAGATGATCGATGTCATTGCCGTCACCAAGGGTCACGGTTTCCAGGGTGTCACCAGCCGTTGGGGCACCAAGAAGCTTCCCCGTAAGACTCACAAGGGTCTGCGTAAGGTTGCTTGTATCGGTGCTTGGCATCCTAGCCACGTCCAGTGGACTGTTGCCCGTGCTGGTCAGATGGGTTACCACCACCGTACCTCCTGCAACCACAAGGTCTTCCGCATTGGCAAGGGCTCTGACGAGGGTAACGCCTCCACCGAGTTCGATATCTCCAAGAAGCAGATTACTCCGTAAGTACCAAGTCAACTGCATTGCTCGATTGAACAATATCGCTGATGAAATCTGTTTATAGCATGGGTGGTTTCGTCCGCTATGGTGAGGTCAAGAACGACTATGTCATGGTCAAGGGCTCCGTTCCTGGTGTCAAGAAGCGTGTTATGACTCTGCGCAAGACCCTGTACCCCCAGACCAGCCGGAGAGCCACCGAGAAGGTCGAGCTCAAGTGGATCGATACCTCCTCCAAGTTCGGCCACGGTGCTTTCCAGACACCCGAGGAGAAGCGTGCATTCATGGGTACCCTCAAGAAGGACCTTGTTACTTCTGCTTAAGGTGTTTATGTCGGTTTGGTGTAGTGCAGCTTCTTAACTTTTTTCATAAAAAAGCGAACAATACCTTCAAAGCCTACGCCTTCCGCTGAATGATCAGTGATGCCTGTTTCCAAGTACTCATGTAGCTTAAGGTAATATGATGATGTTCCAAAGAAGATAGTCTTTACAACGCGATCAAGTAGTGTACCCTCCAAAATTACTGTATGTATAAAGAGTTGTGACCCAAGGGCTTGAGGATAAAAGTTTGCACCTGCCGAAATCTCTCCTTGAATAACTTGCCTTCCCCAAGTCTCATTTGCTGCAGACGAAACTTCGTTCATTCCTGGCATGTGATATTTTGCAGTCTACTTACATATCTTTATCCAATTGTCGATTCTAAGAGGCACTGGCCGTTTGTTGAAGCACCCATGCGTCGGTGGCAGCTGAGCCGCACGGTCTATTGCGTCATTAATCGCAACCTGGTTTGGGCTTCAACTTCAACTGCATCACCAAATCGGGCTGCCCTCTCTCCCCAGTCTCTGATCCTAAAGTCTCGGAGTTTTACTGTTACCTCTCATTGTCGCTTATATTCCCACTTGCGTATTCGAACTTCTCCGCAGAATCAAATACTCCTAGTTTCGTCCCACCAAACCTACTACAGCATCATCCCATCACCGAACTCTCGCCGCAAACCCATCATCTCTCGAGCCATGTCTTCAGACGACGCTTACATGTCCTTCCTGGATAAGGCCAACGCAGACCTTAATAACGGTCGAGCACAACAAACTCAGCAGTCCGGCGTGCGCACGGAGACCGTCGACGTTGGCGTCCAGATCCCCGCTCCACTCAGATCAGTGGATGCATACTACGTCTCCGAGACAGATGAGCCCTTTGAGCCGGTAACATTGAGATGGGAGGGCGCGAATAAGGGAACTTGGCCCGGTCCTGGTTCGTGTATCCCGATGGACAGTCGGACTGCCTGAAAAGTGCATTTGCTAACGCTGCCTTATCCGCACAGCCGAATTCTCGAGACTCATCTCACCTGACGCTGACCTCGTTTCGTCCATTGAGACATTGACGCCTTCGACCTTTGATCCTAAGAACCAGTACTCGGCTGCTCTGCGCGCGGTGCGGGCCGCGGTCGCGCAGGCTTTTGGTGGTGGTGAGCCTGGCATTGATGAATCGGATGTAGAGGTTAAGGTGTACCGGGTGGAAGTTGGCAAATCGCGCGTTCAGTATTATATTTTGGGTTTGGATGCTGAGGGAGGGACTATTGTGGGATTGAGGGCGAAGGCGATCGAGTCTTAGCTTGCCTTTTTTTTTTTTTTTTTTCTCTGGTCTGTGTGTTTGATTAACTGTGATCTTGTAATTGATATAGCCATATGACGATTGACGTGATATATGTCTAAGATAGCTTGAGCTCTTCAGTTCTGGCGTTTCCGAAATTTACTGTACAAAGTCGACGCAACATATATGTTCTCTCTTGCATGTTACGAAACAATAAGGTAACCATAACGGCAACCACATCGGCAAAGTTCTGCATGCGAGCTATTGATTTGCAAAACATTATGATTATTATGCGGATTCGTATGCATATATGTCATTCTACACTCAGTGTGCTTACGTTTGCCTCATGCAAGACATCAACTTTCGGCTAATAGTTCTCAGAGAAAGCTGGTCTCCGTCTAAATTCTTAACTACTGGCGTCCAGATTGATACCCTGATATGTTGAAGAAGAGATAGAATACATAGAGCTACGCATCAACAATCCAAACGAGAGTAACGTGGCAAGTCAAGTTGGAGGGCATTCTATGTGCTGGGCTCTAAGCATGTATCTAACACCAACTTGGCCGTTGAGCAGAATAATCACAATTGACAACCTCGTGAGTGACTGCCTGCCAGGACGCACGTTTCAGGAGGCTGACTGACTTTTGACCCGGTTGGAATGGCAGAATATTGGTATGTGTCTGTCTTGTTGGAGGAACGAGGATAAAAATGACGGACTGTCCATTTCGCAGACAGTGGTAGCTCATCGGCAGCTTTCTCTGGCCTTCACTGGCTAGTACTGAAGAGTTGGCAGTTGACATTTTATGACTGACCCCCTCAATGAAAACATTGACGCATATCATTACCCTGCAAGTAGAAGTCAAGGTTCACAACTGCAGAAAGGGACGCGTGTTCTGGAATGGCCCTGTTTTAGGCTGTCATGCGTTTGACTACGTGTCTGATTGAGATATCTGGGGTCCATCAGCTGGTATTGATCTCAGCATCTGGATTCAAATAGCCAATAAGTATATAGACCTGAACTGCCTTTGACTCGAGACAGATTGTCCTTGGCTCCATTGTTGTTGTTGTCGTTGCTGTGCTAGGGGGTATGTACGGAGTAGAGGATGGCTTGTCTCACTTGTTGCGGTGTTCTCAATTCAGCGAAGTCATCAACGGGAAAGAGTATCAGCAGAGAATGAACTGGGTTGACTCAAGATAAATTCTCACCACATATTAACGCGGATGACTCTTGGTGATTATATGTATCTAGTGGTTTTTGCTTGTCCACGATGCTAGAACAGCATCCAAAACGATCAACAAACTAACCCCAAACGGCTTAGCTGCTGTGTGCCTGATTCATGGACTGAGGCCCACAATGTCCATAGGTACGTAAGTTACCTTGATTATGTACATACCTTCCCCTACTGCTGTGGAATTCCCTTGAACTTCATCCTCCATTCCAGAGCGACCCTGGCTAGCAACGACTCTCGGTAGTCTCAATCATGTCCTTTGGCTCCTTTACACTGCACTTGAAGGACTTTGCAGCCAACCGTGCTCTCAGAATGGAGTCCATGACTATATGGATCGATATCATTAACTGATTGCTGGCTGTACGGTATACGCTCGCCTCCGATGTTCTCAGCCATCATACAGCCACCAACTATTCGAACCTGTCTGCAAAATATCAAAGACCTCTATCAACGATGGTGGGTCTTCAATGCCGGCTAGTACTCCCAAGCATCACCCCTCCTAAACGGGAGCATTCCTGGATGGGAGGGTGACCCTTGGTAACCATGGCGGATTGCCTCAATGCTTAAAATTGCTATGCTTGTTTCGGCGCTGTTGTTATTACTACCAATAAATACAAAGTATTTCGAGGTTCGTCCTCTGGAATATGGATCCCTTGATGGTTAACCTGCTAGAAGAACAAGGAAGAGAGCATTTGATTCTTATGTAGGCACAACTAGGCAAACAGGAACTGCAAACCTGCTCTGCTATCCCTTTCTGACCCCCCAAGAACCTTCACTTATTGAATAGTTGCAATACATTGTTTCGTTGTCTCTCCCACACTTGCTTTTGATCATTTTCCCTCTTTTTCTGTAATTCTTGGTGGGACACATTCTATCGGCCTTCCCCCATTGTTTACACTCTCAATCCCATCTCAAGTTCTCCAGCCACTCTGTCCCTCTTTGTCTCTCTCAATACTTTCTATTTGAACTTACTTTCTTGAGAAAGTAATAAGTGAGTATTATCTTCATTTCCGTTGTCCAACGCTCGTCCAACAACTGGTACACCATCGGTGTCACGATTCAGCAGTCAGTCATTCCGTGCTGGCCAGGTATCTGAGGATTGGTATCATCGACTCGATCTACCAACTTGGCAAGACTGAATGAACACTCCCGGCTCCTGAAGCCACAGACTTTGTGAGAGCGGATCTCCTGGCAATGGTCCTCGGATAACGCAATCGAAAGGATCGAGAGAGCGACTAGCAGATTGGAGCAGGAGGTGCAACACGGATTGGTACGGTTGGCCAGGAATTATTCTTTGGTGATAAACATACAGCCAACCTACCAGCGAACTGTCGGCAAAGCGTCAGTGGCGACTGTCTCTCGCAACGGCCTCTAGACAGGTTCATAGATCCTTAGAGAGAGTATTCGGACTACGTCAGAATGTCCGACAGCTCCTCAACGCATAGCGCTAAGGATGTCCCTCGCATTCAAATCCGAATTAACTCCGGCAAACATGAGCCCATTACCGATACAGATGATCGCTTATCGAGAGTTCCGAGTCATCAGATTGGGCGAGCTTTGATACCAGGTGTGGCCCTTTCACCGTCTGCTGGGACATTACACACAGTATACGGATCCTCCGATCTGCAAGATTCGTCTGAATTTCTGCTACCGCCGCGCCCACGTCGTTTTAAGGAAGAGTACGAACCATACCGATCACCAGCACCTTCAATACGTTCCTCAAGGCGAACGAGCTGGAGCTCAGAGGCAGGGAGTTACGATACGAGGGGATATCCTTACAGCGTATTTGAAGATTCGCGCGCCCCATCCCGGGCAGATAGTGATGAAAACGATGTGAACACGCAGACAGTTGCCGAAAAGTACAACATCATGCCCACGGACGGCTTGCTTCTCTTTCCTGAGCCGGAGGAAAAGGACGATTATCTGCATAACCCAGATCCCAACGATAAAGAAGGACAATGCGACTTGTGGAACCGCCGCGGTATCATGAATGTGACGGGCCTAGTACTGCTGACTTTAGGTTTTCTGGCACTTTTCATTGGCTATCCGGTGATGTATGTTTTGATTTTCTCCCGTCGATAGCGCTCAAATGCATCAACTGACCACAATGGCTTCTTAGAACGGCGGTGAAAGGCGTGCTAGATGAATCTGGGCCTAAATGTAACTCGGGTGATACGCTCTGTCTTGAAGTAGGGGACCGCCCATTGCTGTCGAACATACGAAGAGGCTTGATCGATCCGGACACGCCAGATTCAGCCAAAACCAAGATAGCCGCCGATGGGAAGGAGTGGACGCTTGTAGTAAGTTGAGGGACCTATCTTTTGTTTTCTGTCACCTCATTGGACGAAAGACTGACATCTATCATCCAGTTTTCGGACGAATTCAATACTGAAGGCCGGACTTTTTATGAAGGAGATGACCCGTTCTATCAGGCGGTTGATCTCTGGTACGGTGTGACGCAGGATTTGGAGGTCAGCCACAATACGTGTATAGCCAACTGAAGTTCAAGCTGACGTCTCTGCAGTGGTATGACCCAGATGCGGTGACGACCAGAAATGGGGTCCTGGAGATTCGTTTCGATGCCTACCCTAATCATGAACTGAAATACCGATCGGGAATGGTACAAAGCTGGAACAAGCTGTGCTTCTCGGGGGGTCGCCTGGAAGCAAGCATATCACTGCCGGGTGCTGGTGATGTGTCTGGATTCTGGCCCGGTTTCTGGGCGATGGGGAACCTGGCCCGGCCTGGGTACGCTGCAACCACAGAAGGAGTGTGGCCATACAGTTATCATGATAAGTGTGATGCGGGCATCACACCAAACCAAAGTTCTACCGATGGTCTCAGTTACCTTCCTGGGATGCGCTTGCCTGCCTGTACCTGCGCAGGCGAGGAACACCCAAGCCCTGGCAAATCAAGAAGTGCGCCAGAGATCGATGTGATCGAGGCAAGTGTGACTGCCCTGAACAATAATCCAAATGCAGTTATTGGCTCTGTCTCTCAGAGTTTGCAGATGGCGCCGTTTGACATATGGTACATGCCTGATTACGGTAAGTTCCACTGTCCCTGATCACGAAAACCACTATCTTGTAGCAGAGATCTTGATCTCACGCTCACAAACTATAGAATTCACCGCTGTATATGATCGCCGCATAACGCAAATCAACAGTTATAGAGGAGGTCCCTATCAGCAAGCCATGTCCGGTCTCACTAATCTGAACAATAAGTGGTACAACGGCAACGAGTACCAGGTCTATGCCTTTGAATATACACCTGGCGCTGAAGGAGAGATCACCTGGTTTGTCGGGGCCGATAAAACGTGGACCTTGGATGCTAGAGCCATTGGCCCTAATGGCAATATTGGCCAGCGCATGATTCCGCTTGAGCCGATGGCCATCGTCATGAACTTGGGCATGGCCTACAACTTCGCCACTATCAATGACACGATCAGAAACTACATGCCGGGTATCATGCGGTTCGATTACATTCGGATTTACCAGGATCCCAACAACATCAGTGTCACTTGCGATCCTCCGGGCTATGAGACGACGGAATACATTTCGAAGCACCCGAAAGCCTATCGCAATGCCAACACAACGACATGGTACGTTTATTCTCTCATCCCTGACCCACATTCTCGATGTGTTTCTGACTTCTCCTAGGTCCGACGCCGGATACAAGTGGCCGAACAATTCTTTCATACACGGGTGTTCACGAGTCCCATAGTATTTTCGTCAACCTAGGACCATTTTTTTTTTTTTTTTTCTCGCATCCTGCCATGATGGCTAGAAGACC